AGGAAGGAGACTTTTAATTATAAGAATAATAATTATTAATAATAATAAGTAGGACAGTCCAAAGTAGGCTATAAGGAAGCAAAGACCCCGGGGAGTTCTGTTGTTGTGTTTAGTTTATATGTATTTTTGAATTTTTTTCGTTATTGTCTTATTTGGGTTATTTTCTCCTCTCCTGGCTATTTATTTGTTTGGTATAGATGTTTTAAATAATATGAACGGACCTTCAAGAGCCTTAACTAGTTTGTGTCTTGGATAATTTATTATCGTGTGAACTGTACTCACAGGGGGGGAAAGATTATTTTGTGAGGCCAAGCAACCTGCTGAGAGTCTATTTTTCTATACTCCCTCGTCCTGCGCATCAGAAGGCAAAACTCCGCATTCTTCTTCTGCTAGGGTCCTGCTTTTCGGCAAGTGTAAACTAAAACATGCTCCATGGGGGTCCACAAATTATATTTTTATACACAGAATTGTAAATTAGATTTTTGAGAGATCAATACTTAACTGAATGACATTTCATTTTTGAAATAGTGTAAAATATGAAAATATATTATTTTAATTTAACTATTTTCCAATGTAACAGCCGTCTTCTGTACTGCCTTCATGGTTTGTATTTGCTTTGTATCTGCCACTTTGGTCATGTTCTTGGAAATCAAGACTGTTAATGCACACATACACACTTTTTTTTTGACAAACTGGAAGAACTCTGTTATTTTTAACTTTAAAGAATTTATTAGAAAATAATATTTTTTAAAAGCGCACATAGCAGTGAGCCCACGAGGATGGAGCCTGTAGTTTGTACAGAGAATAAAAGGATGTTTTTGCATTAATAAACTGAGAAATAACTGCTGTAAATTTACTAAAATGTATTTTTGAATATTTTGTAATAGTTTTATAGAAATAAAGTGTGCCACGCACCCAGTGGTTAGTAGATATTTCCTGAGAATTCCTGTTGCGACCCTTTTTTTTTTTTTTTTTTTTTTGCTTCATTTTCTGGGAAATCTGCAGCCCCAGTATTCTGTTGAATTGTAATGTTGCTACTGTGAATTCAGACCCACTTGCTTAAGAAACCAAAGTCAACAGAACAAATCCACTGTCTGCTCTCTTCACTGGAGAGACCTCAGTCCTGTGCTTGTTAGGCAAAGCTCTGTCCACACTCCCCAGAGTTGGTGGTGTTTAGGGGACAATTTGTCCCCAAGCCCCCAGAGGTGAGGCCCAGCATCTACAGACTCCTTTGCATGGTAACTGGGTGCCTTTCTCTGACCTTGTGGTCTCGGGGCAGTAGGGAGCAGGCTCCATAGCTTAAGATGCTGTGTCCTTTCCAGACAGCGTCCCACGGGAGCTTAGCTCTCTCAACCCTCCTAGCATGGTCTTTGGAATAACTTGTCCCCCTGGGCCTGGAAAGCTGCCTGCTAGAGGCTGGGTGTTACCAGGGTCCTCTGACCACTTAGTATCTCTTGGTCCAGGTCTATCTGGAACAATGGCAAAGCCTGCAGTGTATCCCCAGGGCTCAGTCAGTGCCAGTGTTAGCTAGGTCTAGTTGGAGGATCCCTTCCAGTTTACTGATGCCTGACAGTGTGTTCAAGAGGACTCTGACTTAGACCGTGGTTAAGGCCCAGGCCTAGGCTCACTCCCGGTTCTTTAGTATATCAAAGTAAGCCTTACTCTGTGACTTAGGCTTAACCAGATAGAGGGATCTCTGGGCAGATGGAGCCAGTGCAGGGGCTGGCCCTGGTTTAAGAAGCAGCACTAAGTGAAGTTTCTAACTGCCTGGCAGGTCTGACTCCCAAGGAGATGCCTTTGTGGGTACCTGCAGCCCTGAAGAGCTTCTTGGTGAGAGCCTAACCTCAGAGGTTTGCCCG